TTTTGTCTTCTTTCGCTGTTGAGTCTTTTGGTTGACATAGAATTGAGTGCAGCGACTTTGTTGGTTTGTGTACGACGTCGATTCCCAAAGGTTTGAAGAGTCTTGTAGTGATTTTTGAGATATCTTTTATACATGGTAAGGCGAATTTCTTTGTGCTTTCCTTGGTGGCTTTTGCTTTGGTAGGTTGGCTTGGGGGTATATGTCTCTTAATGAAATTCCGTGGATATCCATTCTTTTGGAAGACGTCCATGAGATACTTTTCTTCAATTTTCCTTAAGATGGGAGTGCTGCAGTGAGTCCTCGCTCTCTTGAATAGTGTTTGTATGCAATTCCTTTTGTGTGTTATTGGATTGTTGCTGTTGTAATTCAGTATTTGGTCTGTGTGAGTTGATTTCTTATCAACTTGAGTTTCTAACTCCGCTGTGGTTGTTCGCTTGACTAAGACGTCCAAAAATGGTATTTTGTTCTCGGATTCCTCTTCTCTTGTGAATTTGATGTCGTTGAAGACGGTGTTTATTAAGTTGTGAGTTTTATCTAACTCGATTCTTTTGATTATTACAAATGTGTCGTCGACGTAGCGTATCCAAATCTTGGGTTTGATCTTTGGTAGAATTATGTTTTCGAGTCTTTGCATCACTGCTTCTGCAATCAAACCTGATATTGGCGATCCCATAGGTGTTCCTTTGACTTGTTCATATATTCAGAGAACAAAACCACATCAAAATCAGAAGAAATTACTATTTATGAGAATTGAATTTAAAGGTTATACCAATTCTGGGATTCCGCAGAACCGCTGCTTACCCACATCACTGAGAAAAGTCTTCTTTGCGGCCAAGATACGGATGAATTTCGACAACTGACAAATTATCAATGGATGTGTGAAGGATAAACTACCGTTTTGGTTCACTTCAGTGTGTATTTATAAATTCACCTACTCGTGTGGAATTAGTTATAGTAACCGCACACAGAGCACACTTTCCAAATGCATCTCTGAACATTATCTGACATGGTTAGCAAAAAGACAATGCAGGAAAGTTACTAGATGAATTCTCGAGCACTTACTGGATGCAAGTTGTGCAGGTCCACCAGAGTCGTCTTTCAAGATTACCTACACGCGGGGGGGGGAGGGCAAATGATACGAAGGGCATCAGGTTTCGACATTTGCGTATTGGTAGATGCTTTGGTGATTCTTAAGTACAACCCCGAACTCTTTGTGTGGAAAGAGTTTGTCCACTGTCTTATTCTGCCATGGTCTAAACACCTTCATTAGTTGTCCCCTGTAATTTTTTTAAAATTTTTAATGATTAGTTTACTTTTACTTTGATAGTTCGTTCACTATTTTCACTCTCACATGTTCCTTTTGTGTATTTTCTCACCCTCTTCACACTTGTTAAATTGACACTCAACTACCACCTTTAATTACGCTCAAAAGCAATTTTAACCTTATCAAATTTCTAACGCTTTCTTCCATTGTGCTATTGAGTACTACGTAATTTAGAAGTTTTAATTATACTTTGAAAGCTACATTTGAGTAATAATGTCAGTTATGTCACGTACAACCCCATTACTCAATAATGGATCAGTATATATTTTCGGTGGATATGAATATGACTGTACACCCTCTGAAGATGATTTCGCCGGCCGACAAAGGAAATTTTCAAGAGTCGGTTTGTAAGGATTAGATTTGTTTTACTCGTCTGACTATGGAGTGATATACAAGCCAGCTTGCCTTGTAACTGGAAGGTTGTGGGTTCGAACCTCAATGGGTCTGCACTGGCGATGATTCCCAGAATAGGATGAAACAGCTCTCCAGTACTTTCTGGTTTTCAATGATTCTCCGACTGATATTAATCCACGCTCAAACTCTTAAAAAACGTTTTTTTTGTTGAATTGTCTTTTATTTTCTTCATGACTCAATGGGTATTTAGGGTAACTCATCTTTCCTGTTTCGCAAGTTAACTAGAAAGTGGAACGTGTGTTCCTGTTGCTCTTTACGCGTGAAAGTAGGTCGTCTATCTGAATATTTGTTTGTATAATCATGCCATTATTCCGTATCCCTTATCATTATTATTACTGTTATCATTACAAGGAAAGAGGAAAGGTTAAACGTGGTTCTACAGACCCAACCCCAAAAATTCAATCCAACAACTGCAGGAACTTCAAAGTACTGACAAAATATAAAAATAAGCTTCTTCTTCTCTGTAATCAGAAAGACGAAAAGGCGCAATCTGGTAAAAGCCTTCTGAAATCCAGCCAGTCAGTTAAACACTCAATAGGTATCCTGAACAAGATCCGGATTTGCTACACTCAATTCACGTCAGTCAGTGCTCCTTTTGTGCGTCGGTACCACAGTGGTTAGGACGCTCACCGACTATGCACATGGTCCGGGTTCAACTCTCGACCACAGACGCACTCCTTTACCTCGCTGAGCCAGTAATCAAAAAGCTGGCAGAGAGGAGCTGTAAAAGTAATCATCACTGCTAAAAAACCTACAAGCCTCTGGCTTGAAGACGCCCTATGTTCCACTGATAATGTGGAGGAATTAATAGTAATAAGTGCTCTTATCTGGTTCAGAGACTGGGAATGTCACCAAAAGCATTTGCAACAGGCTACTGCAGACTTTTATCTGTAGCTGTCTTCACTGGTTAGATACTGAAGGTCAGATAGCCGATGATAAATGAAAAGTGACAAAGACCTCTGACAGCGGATCAATCCAGAACCTATTGTCTTACAAATATGCAGAAATTAATAGACATAAACTGAACACACACTTAAAAGATCATTGAATGACATCACACGCCAGGAAAGCCCTTGAATGGAACCCGAACGGGAAAAATGACTAGTTGGACGTGTGACCGTGAATGACGAGGGGAAGGCAGTGTCAGCGGGAACTGAAAGAACTCCGGCGATCATGGAACTTGCTAAAAAGGACTATAGAGAACAGAGTGAAATTTAGATGTGCCACCGAAGCTCAATGCCCACTTCAGAACCTACGGGAAAATTAGTAATAATTTTTATGACTAGTTCAACAACTTTTATGCAAAATTTCGTTTTCCTACTAAGCAAGCACCATGACTAGTTTATATTTAATGACATATTCATTTGCAAATTTATTGAGTTATTTGAATAAAGCAAGAACAACAGCTTTTGTAGAATGAAATGATACCACCATTTCTTATTTCGTTGGCTTCTCATCAGCTACTTTCAAGCCAAAGTCACTACCAGGTATATCTACGGAAACAGTTTTAACATACTTGTAGAAAGAGCTCATTTTTAAACAAAAGCCAATCAATCAGTATATGCATACAGTAATATTATGCATGTATGATGATAATAATATTAAACACTATTCCGAACAATAATGATCATACACAATGGAAACTTTCAACATTACATAATCAGGTGAAAGAGAGGCGAAAATATCCAGTCATCAGGACAAAGAAAGACTGATAACTGCGTTAAACGTGTACTAGTCAAGGCTCTATAATCTAGAGCGAAGGGATTATACTTTATAGAGAAGCTAGAGGAAGAATTTGTGTTTCTTGAAAACATGTTGAATAGCGGTGGTTATTCTCAAAGGTTCATTAACAAGTATGGAAAATCTGAAGTCTAAGCTAAGCTTGTTTCCGTCTATCGAACATTTTGCTCTTCTGTGGTGCAATCAAAAGTTGACAGATATCCTTCTCATGTTAACTCCAACTGTATATACAAATTTACATGTATCTGCTGAAGCAGTTATATTGGAAGAACAGAAAGAAGGGTATACCTCCGATTTTCTGAACATGTAACAAAAAGCCTATGTCTAGAGCCAACAAATACTTTAGACAGTGCCATCGCCAGACATCTCATTGACACAAGTTATAAGGTGGACATCGCTGGAGCGTTCAAAATTATCAATAGGCAAAAAAGTTCAATTCTCCTGAAGTTGGCCGAAGCAATGTCCATCAAGCACTTGAAAACTGATTCATGCGTTCAGAAAGAAGCAGTTATCAGTCTTTCTTTGCCCTGCTAACTTGATATTTTCACCTCTCTTTCACCTGATTACGTAATGTTGAAAGTTTCCTATACTGTTGGGAATAGTGTTTAATATTATTACTTTACATATATATTATTACTGTATGCATATACTGAGTGATTGGTTCTTGTTTAAAAATGAGCTCTTTCTACAAGAATGTTAAAACTGTTTCTGTAGATATACCTGGTAGTGACTTTGACTTGCAAGTAGCTGATGAGAAGCCAAAGAAATAAGCAATGATGGCATCATTTTATTTTGCAAAAGCTGTTGTTCTTACTTTGTTCAAATTCATTAAAGGGAATAAATCTATGAAATTGTTAAAGTATATTAGAGTGTTATTTGTTACAAAATATCACCATGGATGACATTTTCTTCAATGATATCTGTATCAACATCACAGTTGGAAGTTGCTTTTCAAGACGATCTATCAGAAATTAACAAATCTATGCATAACCTAGATTCCTGTGACACTTTAAGTGAAGTCATCTGTGTTTGTGCATCTGTGAGTGTTTGTGTCTACTGAAATACTAAATTATTGTAGTTATTTAATTTAACTGAAATATAGACTAACTCAATATCGATTTTAATTATAACGTTTTCACCTTCTATATTCATCGTGTTATAATCACTTCTGTTTGACCTTGATGAATCTTTTCGGAAAGAATTTTCATCGAAGTTTATTATTAATATTATTTTTTTAAAACCCAGAAAAGACAATATTCACCAATACAAATGCATAGATTTTTAATAGAAACCAAAAAAAAGAATTTTTAATACATATGTGTGCTTTTACTTATTTCACCTTTTCTTATTTATGAGCATCACGCCAATGATTCTGTTAGGCGACCTTTAAGCGACCAATCAGAATTTAGGAATGATTGATTAAAACAGGTCACATGCTATGGTAACTCAAGGTCATTGTAGGAGGAGTGGATAATAATTACGCGTTGAAAGATTGCTTATTTTTATAGAACTTTTGATTAGCTGATAAGTTCGCTTCACATAAATTAAATTTTCTACATTATTTATTAATATAATTTTTTTGAATTTTAAAATAATAATAATAATAGTTATTATTATCGTCATAATTACTACTTGTGTATCATGTCTGTCGTTGAAGATTGGCCAATAGTTGTGGATAATGGTGCTGGACATTTGAAAGCTGGTTATGCTGGTGATGGAGCCCCACGGATTCTTGTACCTATGCTAACTGGAAGACCATCAAAATGTTCAAAATATACTGATTGGTTTGTTGGTGAACATGCTAATGCACTTAGAAATGAATTAATCCTTAGTTGTCCTATTGCAAATGGAATTGTTACAGATATTGATGAATTATCCATAGTATGGTATTATATGTTTATGAAAGAGTTACGCACAAATCCAGAACATCATCCTGTGCTGGTCAGTGAATATCCACTGTTACCAAAGTATAATCGTGAAAAATTAGCTGAAATGATATTTGAAAAATTTCATATGCCTGGTTTATATTTCACAGATCAATCTGCGCTGGCTTTATACGCCTATGGTTTGACAACTGGTCTAGTTGTTGATGTTGGTACTGAAATGTCAAATATTGTACCAGTCGATAATACAATCATGATACCAGGTGGAGTTAGACGTCAATACTTTGGAGGATCACATGTTACTGAATTATTTCGATATATGCTATCAGAAACACATCCACTAGCTGCTAATTCAATCTCTCGTGATTTTGCACGTATGCTCAAAGAGAAAGTATGCTATGTATCTATGGATACAGCTAGTGAATCAGTAAAGTTGGATTCAATGTCCAATACACAAAATGTACATTATACACCAGATGGACATATAATTCGTTTAACTAAAGAAAGATATATGGCACCGGAATTATTATTCTCACCAAATCATACTGGACTTCCAGGTACAGTTGGATTACAAAATGTAATTAATGATGCAATACAAAATTCACCTTATGACATACAATCCACGTTGTATTCAAATATTGTGCTAAGCGGTGGATGTACACTATTTCCAGGCTTTGCTCAACGATTAGAAAGTGAACTAAAATTATTGAATTCATCAACAAATCAACGTATTCTTATACATAAAAAACAAAATGATCAGAAATATGCTGTCTGGATTGGTGGATCAATCCTAGCCTCGTTAAGTTCATTTCGTAAAATCTATATAGAGAAAAAGGAGTATGAAGAAGTCGGTGCCAGTGTTGTACATACAAGATAGAGCAAAATCACACACTGACACACACACACAAACACACAGTATTAGGTGTCATAACCTATCTGTAAATGAAATGAATACCATCATTGAAATCTAATCCCAAAATATGCATTTTATATGAAATACATTGAATATTGAACATACACATAGTGTATGGTTTATTTGAAGGCGCCATTTTCAAATTTGAATATCCCTCCTAATCATAGGTTACAAATGATTCATTATAACATCGACAACATTCATATCTAAAAATCATTGAATAATATTTCTAAATTTTCATAATTTCTTTTTCTTTCGAATAAACTTGTTAACATTTACATATATATGATCACTCATCTTGAAGAGTTTGTAAAAATATGCTTAACATTGTTGTTATTATTACTAATACTTTTATTCCTATCCACTAACTGTACATATATATTTTCACAATTACTATTACTATTATCATTATTATGGGACAGGGATATATATTTTTCGGTAAGTTACAGAACTATGAATCAGTAGAACATTGGTGTGGCATGCAATCTAATCTTATTCGTTGCTTCGTGTCCTGAGGTGTTATCCTTTTTCACGGGTCGGGGTTGGTAGTCTTACGCTCAACTTTCCCTATTCAGCTGTCTCTTACCAGCTGTGAGGCTTAAGACTGAGTCGACTAGGGATCGAACCTTGGGTCACAAACTTGATTGGCAAGTAACCGACCACTCAAGCACCAACGCATATTAATCAAGTTAGAGAATGAGTAATATTAATGATATTAGCTTAATTTTAGAAAATATGTTGACACATAGTAGAGAATACTTAAAGTTTGAACGGAGAAAGAGGAATAGATCGTACAAAATAAAATGAGATCGGTACATTTTGTTGATTTATGCTGAACTTATTATTCTCGCATTACTCTACAAACTACTGATTTGACTGATACGAGTAGTTTGTTAACATTGATATCAACCAGCACGGCTTGCTAGTTAGGCAGATTGAGGGGATAAAAACTCCGGATGACCGTTTTGTTCATTTATGGCTGGCCTCATCAACACTGAATGCAGTTTGATTGAATTCAAAAAATCGAATCAGTAGAAGCCAAGCGAATTCTGGCTAACTACTTAAGAAGGCTGGTGATAAATTGGGCTTGGCGCAAAGTGAGCCGAACAGCTTCCCAGTGTTTGGATCATTTTGATGTAGCTGTAGTCTAAGAAGCACTACTGGTTGACATGAATGGTGTACAACTACTCACCGCATTTTATCAGTAGTATATGTATTGCCACACGTTTATGCTTGATTTCTTTATTGTCGCATAAGGAGTTCAGCAGGCCAATATCTTCTAACTAAGTTCGACTTTCATTTTATCCACCCAATATCTGGTTGAAATCTTGCATGAACCAAAGGGATATAAAGTAATTTTTCAAAATCAGAATGATTTTCCATGCAGTTTAGTATTTCATATTGTAATCAGACTGGAAACGGAGCCAGAGACTACAACAGATATTCTCACACCACTATTGTGAAGAGTTTGGAAGGAAGGAAAGGTGCTTACTGATTGGTAGAAAGCCTAGCAAAGAAGGATGACTGAGGCCTCTGCAAGAACTAGCTTGGAAAAACGCTCGTGTACACGCCAAGAGAAACACTAAGTAACATCATCCTGGAGAGAGTAAAAGATGCACTGGACTTAGAATTCAGCCCGGAACATGCTGGGTTCAGGAAAGGCAAATCATGTGCCGACCAAACTGCAACTCAAAGAATCGTCGCCATTGGACAAAGTATAGAATGTCAGTTAAACCTCACTTCACCTCAATTTTATCAACTTTAGAAAGGCCTCCGATAGTGCAGCGTTGACCTAGAAGTGATATGGATACTGCTTCAACATAATGACGTGCAGTGCCCAAGTCCTTATAAACCCCATTAAACAGCTGGCTATATGACAGTGGTACGTGTCAGATGATCTGTAACGGAGAACTCAAAGAGGCGTTCAAAGTGTATACAGGAGTGAGACAAGGCTGCTGCCTATCATTACGAATGAAATTCTTCCTTGTGGTGGGCTGGATTGTGTCTGACTGTGGGGAGCGAGGAGAAAGGTGTAAGCTGGACTGACAGATGAGAAGACTCTAGAAGGTTTGGATTTCGCACTTGGACGATCTATGTCTAATGTCACACAACACTCAATGAATTATAGGCGAAAACCTACAAACTCGCTGAAGAAGCAGGCAGGCAGGCAGCGAAAACAGGACTTCAGGTGAATATACAGAAGACGGAGGGGATGAAGATAACAAAAATAACAGCAACAGCAACAATAACAACTACCACCAATCACCGTCAACTGGAGAGATTTAACACAGGTTACTTCCCGCATTCACAGTCGGGATGGATGAATATGTCAGCGATAGCCAGCCAGAATCGGAAAGGCAAGATACACCTTCATCAATTTGAAACCAGTTTGCAAAACCTTCTGCATTCCATCTCAGCATAAAGAACAAGAATCAGATTCTGTTCAGCACAAAAATGAAGTCTGTCAGTCACTGCTTCTATACGAGTTAGAAACGTGCACTGTGTGTGTGACGAAATGGATTCCAAACAGCCTGTCACAGACTTCTATCAACAACTCCCCACTTCACTACCTCCATACTGAAGATTAAATGGAAGAAATCAACTAACTAAGAGCTGATTTCTTAAGAAATAGGTAGGAGAAAATGGAGTTGCTTTAAACATACGTTGAGGAGTCCTTCGAACGATATTGCACACAATTCAGGCCATCGCTCGAATGGAACCCGAATGGGAAGGGACGAGTGGGTCGTCAGTGTAAGAGTGGGATGGAGGTCTTTTGGAGAGGAGGAGATGAGAGATTATGGGCAGTTGTGGATCCAGATGAAGAGGACGGCATCAAGTAGAACAAAGTGGAGATGTGTTGTTCACAATCATATTAAAGTACTCACACAACTTTCTTGCTTTGTTTATATACATGAGTGAAAATTGATTAGACGTATGAAGAAAATGAATTCAAAACATGCATGAAACAGAAAGGAGGATGAAGTACGTTCGGAAACACTATTAGTGTTATCAATATATATATATATATATATATATATATATATATATATATACCTGGGAAGCATCGTCTCAACTACAGGCGGAACTGATGAGGACATCAAAGCCAGAATCGGAAAAGCAAGACAAGCTTTCATTACTCTCAAATCTGTGTGGAGGTCAACAGCACTCAGCATCAAAAATAAGATCCGGATTTTCAACTCCAATGTGAAGTCAGTGCTACCTAATATACGGATCAGAGACTTGGCGAGTCATAAAGAGCATCTCAAACAAACTTCAGACCTTCATTAACAGTTGTCTTCGCTCAATACTCAAGATCAGATGGTCAGCCAGAAAAGATCAGCAACAGGGATCTCTGGCAATGAACGAACCAACCAGGAACCGATTGTGAAACAAATAGGCAGAAAGAAATGGAGATGGATTGGCCATACGCTGACGAAACCATCAAGTGACATCACTAGACAAGCCTTCGAGTGGAACCCGAAAGGGAGGCGGCGAGTTGGTCGTCGAAGGGTGACTTGGAGGAGGTCATGCGAGGAGGAGATGAAAGCATGTGGACAGACCTGGAGCAGGGTGAAAAGGTTGTCAGAAAACCGAAGGCAATGGAGGTGCGCAGCTGAAGCCCTATTTTCCTCTAGGAACTAAAGGATACAATAATAATATATAATAATATATATAATACCATGAGATTTAAGACGAGTGTTGTTAGTCACCGAGATGGGAAATAATATATTTTTATAGTAAAATAAATAACTTGTTAGAATGTTATGCTATGTGATTACCTTGATATGATTAATAGGAATAAATTGTTCCCTAACTGTCATCAGTAAATATTACTGCATAGCATGGTGTGACTTTATCAAAATAAGTTTTATCCATAATGAAATTATACTGTACCACAGTGCCCAAATTTTATGCTTATAGAGATGTGATATTGAGACAGTATATTCCACTGGGAACCCAGGCAGACAATAATAATTCAACTGAGTTGAAAAGGCAGAGAAAAGACAGAATATGAAGTGTATTCTTAGCCTATACCAGATAAGGACGCGATGAGAAGTAATTTGATTTAATAGCTGAGTTGAAATGTCACTAGGCTGATAATTTAGACCCCACCTATTGTATTAGTCGTTTCAAAAAATCCTCCTTCATTTAAAATTCAATCTTAATTACTCCAGGTCATGATAGGTTGATGACATCCATAATGTTTGGTATCAAGGAAATCCTAGTCAGTAGCATTTTTTGGTGATAACATCATATTATGAAGTGTAGGCTGATAGAACTCCGGGATTATTGAGTTCCATCCCAGTGCCTGAATAGTCAGAGGGTTCATTCAACAACCTGAAGGTCCTAATTTCTGTTCGTGGTAGGCCGCATACTGAAGAAGATTTCCAAGACGTGGAAAAAGTAGCTAGCTATCTGTTGATCCCTCATTTTTCAGTATTTTCATTACTGATGTCAATTATGTGACAAAATCTACGTTTAAATTACATTCATCAGATAAAACATGAATCATAAACTCAGAACACTACATACCACTGGTTGATTGTGATGAGTCTTTGTAAACTACTCACACCAACTAGTAGTGCTTCCTAACCAGGTAGGAGTGGTCTAAACACTGGACAACCATTTTACCCCTTTGGGATCGTGCTCATCAGCTATGTGTGTGTGTGTGCTGTGTTACTCAGCCCAGAAAACTGTATCAGCCCAAACCACTGGATTTTATAGCTCGCTACTTAAGGTGTGGCCAGTCCTTCCAAGTAGCTAGCCAGAAATCAGGTGGTCTGAAATATATTGACCATCTGGATGGAGTTAGAGCGCGTATATCAGTGACGAGCTCAGTTTCAAACCAGCTAAAAGGCATTTCTCTATACCGGTCACTTCAGTATAGCTGGTCAGCAAGCTCTAATGGTTGATGTGAGTATTAGACAACTACTCATCTTAATCAATCATTAGTGTATAATAGTGTCACATATTTATTGCATATTTGTTAATTTCCATATTAGAAATGATAGTCAGCGAGATGACATATTGCCATATGAATAGCTTTCGTTTACGAAGGAAATTGAAATGAGGCTTCGTCCCCTAGAGCTGCGTAAATCTTAGATTGCTGATTCACTTGTAAATCGCGAATATCTTATTATCATCCCATCCTGTGTCAGTAGAAATAGGATTGGTGAAATGTTTAAGTGACAGTTGGGCACAAAAACTAACTAGTATCAAGTAAAATCTAAGACAGGAAGTGATACATATAAGAGAAGCTTTGAAATTTAATAATTACGCCGATAAATTAGTCAGAAAATATGTAAGGAAATGTAAAAATAAAATAAATAATGATAGTAGTGATAGTGATTATAACAATAACAATATTAATGAGGACATGCATGTCAAATGTG